GTACATAGCTTGAGCCAAAGCATTGCTACATAACTTGAGCCAAAGTTTTGCTACATAGCTTGAGCCAAAGCATTGCTACATAACTTGAGCCAAAGTTGCTAACCAATAATGGTCGGCTAAAATCATATTTTCTTTTCATTGATACAACATAAATCCGTAAACAGTAAATCCACGCATATCATTATCATAGACACACCCATATATGTTTACCATAACTAAGCGATTCATCACTTTATCGTACTCACACTCAGAAAATACACACATTATCCATTACCATATACCATTTAAAGACTCCTCCTTACCTTGGTGCGTGTTGGGTTGGGTTCTTGGTAACTGCGCTAGTTCCACCGTCACCGCCGCCAACTCTAGGATCTTTCCCATTCCCACCATACAATCACAATGTTAGTCATTTATTCCAAATATCACATAAACAACTTATATTGCATTATTTAACCATACAAGATATTCATCATATTTTCAATGTTGCTAAACTATTTTCATCATAAGTTTACAACCATCTAAAACATACATATTCATCTCATATTTCAACATTAGAACGTAAACTCATCTTCTACCTATAGCATTTTACCCATTTTCCACTTTAACCACGTTATCCCTTTAGGGTTTTGGGTTTTCATGAATCAACCCACAAACCTTTTCCATTCTCGAAATACTAACTCTAAACTAAGAGTTTACAAGAGAAAAACACATAAAACGAACCATAACTCAAAAGGGTGAGTTTCCATGGTTTCCCATATTTTGAGAAGAGATGCAACATATCTAAAATGAGTTTAAGCAAGAAGAAGAGAGTTATAATCAAGAGTTTTACCTCTTCTCAAGCTTTTGGGTGAGTATCAAAACTCCTTGCCCTTGGAAAAGCTCTCTTCTCTCACCCCTTCAAAGTTTTTTAACCCAAAATGTGTTTGGGTTTCTGTTTTAAAGAGGTGTCGTCGGGTTGTAATCGATTACCAAAATGGTGTAATCGATTACAACGTGAAAAATGCGCATATCTGATACTTTTAATACGATGAAATCGATTACCAGGAGTGTGTAATCGATTATCAGGAGTGTGTAATCGATTACACTCTATCAGATGCACATATCTGATGCTTTTAATACTCTGTAATCGATTACCAGCAGTGTGTAATCGATTACCAGCAGTGTGTAAACGATTACCAGCAGTGTGTAATCGATTACCAGCAGTGTGTAATCGATTACACTGTCTCAGATGCACCTATCTGATGCTTTTAATACGATGTAATCGATTACAAGGATTGTGTAATCGATTACATTGTGTCAGATGCACAGGTCTGATTAGTTTATCATCATGTAATCGATTACCAGGAGTGTGTAATCGATTACACTGTGTCAACAGCCCAAAATTTGCCATTTCTCGCCCAGGCGAGACAACTCTCGCTCAAGCGAGGCTTCCAGGACTGTTACTATAATTTTAAAGACTAAAATTCGGGGTGTTACAACAGCAAGTGATTGAATTCAGTAGTTCCTCATATAAAATTATTGACTCTAGAGATACAATAATAAGTAATATGGAGAAGACAAAAATTGTTTCAAGCACTGACAGAACCAGAAGCGCCCCTTGTTTCAAAGAGGGGAGGGCGGTTTATTCACATTTCATTTGATGGTTAGAGGCAAATTGAAAGCTAAGCAGTGGTAGTTCGACAGAATCCCTTGGGAAAAAAAAGATGTCTCCAACGTTACCTGTACTATGTGGAAGTAGCGACGTAATTTCATAGAGTCATTCGGTCTGAATGCTACATGAAGAACATAAGCCAGATGAAGGAGCGGGAAGACCTAGGATGTAGAAGATCATAACATGAGTGATTCGACAGATTTGGATTCATATATATCCACTCATGCGGTACTTCATTATGCGATATATATAAGATTCATCTGTATAGATATCATCATCTACATCCAGAAAGTCGTATGCTTTGTAAGAAGCTTGTACAGTTTGGGAAGGGTTTTGATTGATCAAAAAGAATAATCTACTTCAACCGATATGCCCTTAGGCACGACCATACATAACATAGAAATCACACTCGGGAAGGGTGGACAATTAGCTAGAGCAGTAGGTGCTGTAGCTAAACTGATTGCAAAAGAGGGGAAATCGGCCACATTAAAATTACCTTCTGGGGAGGTCCGTTTGATATCCAAAAACTGCTCAGAAAAGTTGGGGTAAACCAGAAAAGTTTGGGTAGAGCCGGATCTAAATGTTGGCTAGGTAAGCGTCTTGTAGTAAGAGGAGTAGTTATGAACCCTCTAGACCATGGTTATAAAAATCGTACCATACCGGCCGGTTCAACCGGAAAACTGGTGAACCGGACCCTTAACTGATACGGCACGAATGTTATACCGTATAAGCAACAAAACTGGTGAAAATCGGTTTAAACCGGTCGATTTTGGTCAAAACCGTTGAACTGGTGGAAACCGATGAAAACCAGTCGGTTGAATTTAATGAGGAGGAAGAAGAAGGCTTGGA